CCCCCCCCATTAGCGCCCCTGGCGGCAACTTTGCCACAGGCCACCCCTCCAGCCGGCCGGCTGAAGTGCGGAGCAGTGCGTCAGTGCGACGCTCGTCCGGTGAGACCCTAGACTTGTGGCCTCCTAGTCGCGACTGACTGTGGAGTGAAGCTGAACCCTAATGGAGCCCATCGGCCAACAGCTTCTTTCGTTTTAAGCGGCCGGTTGTGCTACACTTGAAATTTTAAACCATCGACTTCTTTGTCATTTCCTTTTATGAAAACTGACGACTTTAGTGTGTATCTTCCACTATGAGTAAATCTGCAAGAATACATGCACATCCGTGCATTGTTTGCAACGAACTCGTTGAGAAAAGCCTTTGTCAGGATCATCCATGGTTATATGGACTTGCCTGCCCTAACTGCTTAGTAAGCATAAGCCATGGCTGCCTTAATGGTGGTACAGTTAGTAGGTGTAATTGGTTTAAAAAAAAAGAAACTTTCATAATGTGATGCCCTTAACAGGTAACCTGCAAGTCTACATCTGCAAAGTGGTTCAATACCGTATCATTTGAGGTATTCCCCCCCCCCCCCCCCCACAACATACGATTTTACAGTGAGCTTAAAGATAATGTGTTTTTTACCATTTTATTCAACAGTGTGAAAATTGTGGTGACATAAAGAACTTGACTATTCACTTGGACAGGTATTTTATTTCTATTATTATTTTGATCTGCTTCCCATACTTGTTTGCGATATTTCATTGATATTAACTAATCAGTTATTGATTCCAGACTGGTTTGTTTGAATTGCATTGATCATGACAGTGATAAAAGTTCCTCAAAAGCCAGATATGATTGGATGGAAAAGGTGCATGAAAATTCATCTTTTCTTTTTAATATTACTTGTCTATTCCCTGATGACATTTAAATTTTTTTAATTCACAGATAACATTGCTGCATCTGAAAAACAAACGAGAAAAGAGGCCCCTTAGAGTTCTTTCTCTGTTTGATGGAATTGGAACTGGTACAGTTTTATTAAATTTTCCCAATTAATGTTAGTGCATTTTATCAAATGACTTCTTTTTATTTCTTATGATTTCAGCACTTCTTGTATTGGATACCCTAGGATTTGAGATTGAAGAGTACTTTTCCTGTGAAATAGATGATGCAGCATTAGCTGTTCTAAATTTTCACTTTCATGGCAGGATCAAGCACTTGGGTTCTGTTAATACTTTAACTGCAGAGAAGCTGCGGTCTCTTGGCCACATAGATCTACTTCTTGGTGGGTCTCCTTGTAACGAACTTAGTTTAGCTAATCCATGTCGAAAAGGACTTTATGGTACGTACCTTCAACCTGGTGGACATCAATTTAAAGAACAAAGTTAATTAGAAAATTTTATTATTTTATTTTACTCTCAAGATCCAACAACATCCGGAGTACTCTTTTTTGACTTCAATAGAGTTCTTAAATTTCTTCAAGCATCTTCTATCAGAAATGGCCGAATGTTCTTCTGGCTTTTTGAGAATGTTGCAGCTATGCCGCATGACTTCAGGGACACCATTTCTAAGTAAGACTGCCCCCACAAACAGCAAATCGTCATCAGGACACCATATTAACATATTTATGACCAAATCAGGTCAAATTAAGGCCAAAAACGTGTCACTTTGACATAAATATGACCTGTTAGACCTATTTGAGACATCTTCCTGTTTGTTGATTGATTTACATTTTGTTTTTGTTTTTTGTTGTTTTAAATGTTTTCTATTTTCCATTAATTTATCATTATTTTATTCAGAACACTGAATTGTAAACCAGCAACATGGGATGCCATTCAATTTCTACCAGCCAAAAGAGCTCGTTTATTTTGGGGGAATATTCCTGAAATGCATCGAAAGCAGATTGTGAACACACCTCCTCCATTACTTGATGATATACTCGAGCCATACCGCAAAGCTTTGGTACAATCTTTACCGACCCTGACTACTACCTTCCATTCACAAACAAGTGGTATGTATGATTAAGCAAACTTTTACGATTTCCCAAGTACTAGTTTTCTTCATGTAAATGCGATCAATATTGCAGGTAAAGAACTGCAGTTGCCTGTGATGCAAGATGGAAATGAAGATGGTTTACTTATCACTGAAAGGGAACGACTATTCGGGTTTCCCAGCCACTTCACAGATGCAGATATCTCTCTCACTAAGCGTCAACGTTTGCTAGGTAGAGCATGGAGTGTGCCTGTAATTGAAGAAATTCTATTTCCTTTGACAACATTATACAAAAAGCGACAATTAAAGCATTAAGATGTTCAGTGTCATTGTGATTTTGGTATGATAAATTATACAAAAACGTATAGATAACTTTTTACTAAGAGCTGTAAATTATAAAAAAATATGAAACATAACATACAGAAGTACTTATGAATAAAAGATAGACAAGTTTTGCAAATTAATAATAAGTGACTGTTACAATGCTTATCATGTCCTTGTTGATGAAAACAACCAAACCTACCACTGTAAAAGTAAATAAACAGGTGCTGTTGAAATGCATGTATGGTTTACATTACAAAGTTTATACCTTATGAGGAAGTCCAACTATCTGATGATCCATCCATCAAGGCACCCAGATAAATATGGCAGAACTTAGTGTTACAATGATAGTAAATTCCAGTCGTAAGAGAAAATGCAGTAGAAAGCAAGGTGTTCACATTTAAAAACAGTATCATCATACTAGATCACATTTTTTTTGCTACATACATTAAAAAGACACAAACTTGCGAAACTGTAACAGAAGATCCCAGCAGTTTCTAAAGGTCATGGGAAGAGCAAACAAACTAGCCTACCTAATGAATAAATCATCAAAGGAGCAAAATAAAAACAATTGCATTTTGTCGATAGGAGAAGCAGATCTGTTCCAAGACAAGGAAAAATTGGGGTAGACTTTCCCTCCAAATACCATAAAAAGCCTTGAAGAATCATGAACAGTTTTCAATAAGAGTTTCAAGTAATAATTTTAATACATTATGGGTACAAAATACAATACAAATCAACAGATCTTATATGAATACACCACCTGACAGTTAGAGATACAATTTCCATTCCAGACCATGCATCAACATTAGTGTAACAGTACATACCTGCAAAATATGGTACTTTCAACCTGAGCAATTGCTTTCAAACATGTTAGAAGAATCCAAGCACCATGCCTAAAGCAACTCGTTTCATTTCTCAAAATAGTAAAGAAAGGCCTTATCTTGAATCTTTCACCAATTGGGTCATATACAATAGTTTTTTAGAAATATATAGAAAAGAGGCATACAGCAAAAGAGTTATTAGAGGCATGGCAACATACATGGCAAGTTATTGAAAGAACATCCAAACATCCACCAACTTACACCCTCGTCCATATCAATGGCATCTAGTACTAAATATTTAAGAGACTGATTCAGGCTACAATCATATTTAAGCATAAAATATCTAGAACAAATACTTATTGCAAAATGAAAATTCCATACATAACACACTATTCCTATGTTAGACTTTGTTCTTATTCATTAAGGTACGTACATTTTGTACTTGTATGAATTAAGGTGTTAAACTACATAAGAGGGTTAAATTATTGTCCCATACCTATCGTTGAGTGAACAGGCATTGGTATTTTTTACATTGACATGTACACTCCATCATAAATTTACAGATTACCAGTCATTTATTACTTTCTAGTCTGCATATTTGTAAAATGCTGACAAGGACACAAGGTTAAGATGAGGATGTGAGTTTCATATAGAATTTCTTATGCTCTGAGTACAAATTAAATCTGGTTGGAACAAGACAATTGGAGCATTAGGGTGACGTAATAAGTTGGTAATACCATCTATGGTAAAAATTCAAAGTAAGACAATGACTAGAAGCTATTTCTGAGATATATTGCAAGATATACAATAATATCTACAGACATTGCAATAAATAAACTTAGAAAATTAATAATTCTGAAAGCCATTTCATCTGCAAATCAAGCAGATGGCCTGGGAAGAAATTAGAATGACATGCAGCCAATAATAAATCTCAGTGGGAAAAATGTATGTAAATAATTCATAGTATTTCACATAAATAAAGTTTAAACAAGATAGATAGTATTGCTTGGCAGTACATCTACTTATTTGAATAAATAATAAGTAATACAATCCATTTAAGAGTCCTTGCTTTCACTGCATTCAAATATTGACATTTCATTGACTAAAATTAACAGGAACAAGGGGTTTGCACAATACTGCACTGTTGTGTAAGTAATGCCACACTTCAAATAAAGCAATAATTCAAATGGGCTGAAAGAGTTTGCAATAACCACATAGGGGTACATAAAGACCGTGTAAAGACCACTCAAAACCTCAAATGCAAGATCTCTGTTTGGAAATATAAATAAAAATGAGATTTAGAGTTTTACATGACACTGCAGAAATTTTCTTGAAGATCTAGAGTTATTGCCGATTGTAACAGCTCTGAGCTATTGAGGAACACTAATGACATTATCTAACAGTCAATGCGTAAATTTAGTACCTATAGCCTTACAAAATAATTCATTTAATCAATACTCCAATGTTAGAGATGTAAAGATTGCAAGAAAAAAAAAAGTTGAGTCCTTTTAATTGACAATTTGGTCATGAGAGGTATTGAATCAGTGGCAGTAAATCTTTTGGTCAAAGTGTTTCACTCCAAATCTAATGTTTAGAATCATTTCAAAATAGAGTAACAGCAACAGTCAAAAGAATGCACCCACAACAATAAAAGCCTTGAAGTACCTGTTTTCAATAACATTACTCAACATGTTGTGTCTTTCATGTTTCCAACACAAAAACCAAAATTTCTGAGCCTTGACAAGTTTCCAACTGATATTCTATGAATAACCAACCTTGGAAATTATACATATCAATCTTTTTAAAAAATTTCAGTCACTACCCTGAGTCACTACACACTAAACATAAGTCAGTATTTTTACTATGTGATAGTTGGTTAGATGATGCATTCTTACATAGAATATGTCAAGTCTTTCATCTCAGGGATCTGTTGACGTAAAAGATGACAGTATAAACATTTTGTTACCTAAATAATAGGTAAACGCAGCAAATACATAAATAAACAATAGGGAAAGTGCAAGGGTCATGTACAACATTTAGGTGAGATGGCACAAAGCAAAAATAATGTATCAATATCAAACATTGCACATGGTGAATTTCATAACAGGAATTAGAAAGAAAGCTGTTGCAAGGCATCAACAACTCTAGGATGGAACTTATCTGCTTTGTTGTAAACAGTGCAGAATAAATAGTTAATAAAATGCAAACCCCAGCACTCCACAAATTTCCAAATAATAAAATAAATCGAAGCAGTCAATCAAACAAACAATCAAACAAACAACCAAAAAAAAAAAAAAATAAAGACAAAAAAAGGCAAACATGAAAATTTCCAGTACACATTCTAAATCATTAAGATTAAATGGAGTACATAATTTTGCCAAGTGCCCCTTTTGTTCTGGAGGACTAATACTGTGTATCTTTGGATGCTTATTTTCACTAAGCAAAACAAACAAAAAAAAAAAAATCAATCAAGACTTCTTTAAAAGCAATAGATTAATAAAATAGGGATGGATAAAAGAAAGGAGACAGAAAACTGGAGGTAAGTAGATACACCAATGCACTAAATTAGCTATCATAGCTAGAGGACCCATGGTCACCATGAGCTGGGCTGGGTGGGGTACTTGGGTTACTGCTGTTATTTGATGCAATAGAGTGACGGGGACTACCGCCACTTGCTGAAGCCTCCTGGATGGAATTTAAAAAAAGTTTTCAAAATACAGGCACTTTCAGTAATAACAAAAAATAATTTTTAAAGATCGATAAGTTTTTGAAACGTACCCTCATAATATCGTGCAGAGAGGACACACTGGAATGGCTGGGATGTGATAGAGAGGACATTGACGCCAAAGGGTCCGCGCTGTTACCAACAGCACCGTCGTTGGGCGCCGAGTCGGGAGAGCGAGGGAGGGAGGGCGGTGTGACCGACGGGCGAGGTGGAGCGACGCCGCGCCTGGAAGACATACTGGATCCTGGAACGGAAAGCGCAACCATGACATACACGACCCCAGTCAGGACCCACTCGAGCACAGCGAAGAGCGTCAATAAGTCGTCCCAACCATTCAGTCCTGTGTAGCTCGGTGGAGGGGTCCGCTGCATGTTTCCTGACATTCGCCGCTGTTCTTGGTGCGGCGGCGGGTGAGGAGCATGTCTTGGAGGAGTGGCAGACATCTTGGCAGACGTTGAGGCGGCAGTGTGAAAACCACCCTGCAAGAGAGGCAGCCACGTTAGAGGGGTTCACCGCACGACAACATCCAAACTACAGTTTACTGACGAGTCATGTTACCCTTTGATCAGCTGTCTCTAGAGTTGTTGGCAGATCCAAAAGTCTTTGAATTTGAATGCCATCACCAGGACCCATGTGACTTATGTGATTAAAATTGGTTGGAGCTGATATCATCTTTGATCTGCGGTCCGGTGCTCTGGTGGCTCTGTGGCCCTCCCTCATGGAGAACCTTCGGCGAGGACGAGGAACAACTCGGCCAGAGGCATCTACTCCAGTTACATTAATTTGTTCTCTTTGATGGACGTTACAAATGTAGATTATGTGTGGCATATCATTAATCACACACATGCTGAGAGATCCAGACGAATTAAGAGGACGAGCTCTCTTCACATTTATTGTCTGTACCCATTCTCCAGAGGCAGCATTAAACACATCAATGTGTGTCTCAGTATAGACCATTAGGTGTCCATCGCAATAACTCACAAAGAGAGGTATAGCAGGATACATAATTTCACGGTCACGAGACTTTCGGCCTTGGGTATCAACATACAGACCAAGAGTTTGGAAAACAAGAAGAAACTCTCCTCGAGATAACTCCACACATCGCATGGCATCAACAGCACTGTAGGCTAAAAATCCTAGAAGTTGGTTATCCGGATGGACTAAAGAGATAGCATGATGATCTCCAGCAATACTATAAACACTGAATCCAGATTGGTATCCAATACAAAGCCTTCCTTCACTTAAAATATTGAGGGATTGAGCTGTTGTAGGTAGCATTACCTCTCTCAAGCGCTTATGACGTGTTTTTGTACGAGTTATTTCATAAATTATAACTTGAGAAGTGTTCTGCAGAAGAAAGAAAAGAATTTTTTCAAACAGGTCAATAATAAAAGTACTACAACTACTCCTACTAGGTACTAATAAAGATAACAATAAAAGAAAGATTTAGGTACCTGTCTTTTGATTGCCACACACAGACAATAGCTGGATTGAGGTAATCGAGACATCACACCAGTGGCAAAGGTCAAGCAGCCTTTTGTTTCAGCAACCTTAATCCATTCTACATCATCCCCATCCAATGCACGAACAGGTATGAGACGAACATGACGTTGCTTTCCAGACAGGACCACTAGTAACTGCTCTTCTGGCACATACTCCAACTGGTACACTTTCTTGCCTTCTCCAACACGAGCCATTTCTATCAAAAAATAATTGAAAGAAAAACAGAAAAATTACAGATCACACACACAACATTTCAACATTTCAAGAATATACAATCCAAATACACAACACAATCTATACTAAAGGAAAAGAAGAGAATAAGTTACCATTGCGATCCAAATCCAAGCAGAACAACCCTTCTTCTGTTCCAATGACTAGACGATCAGGATCAATAATTGCACCTGACATGGCATTTTTTATGAAGGCAAGTGTGTTGTCCAGTAATTCCTTTGCTCGGAATATCTGCAGAAAGAGAAATATGAAAAGGATCATTCAAAGAAAAAGAAAATTAAAAAGCAATAACATTTTTGTTGCTAGTAACTTACAGTGGTGTTTGGAAGATTGTTACGTTTCAGAATGCGATGTAGTTCACTCAGGGCAACTACCCACTTTGTCTTTTCACTTTCAGTGTCAGCCAGCATCAATGTGTGATTTTTAAGCCAGGGAGGATCCATGAGAGATGTTGTAATCTACACACAATGCAAAAATAAATACAAAATAAGTGTTTTTCATGAATTGGATGAACACAAGAACTATATACAAATAAATATATAGTAATAACAACAAAAAACAAATGAAACAATATGAAAAAAATACAAACCCTAAAAATGCATGGAATATCTTTCTTTGTAGCATGTATGACATCAGATTCCCGAACAGAGCTCACAGCAAAATCTTCATCCCTCATGTCTAAAACTTGTGACACATATACAGATGGCAGGGCATTGCGGTCAGGTGAAATATCATAGAGGAAAAGTTTGAAGTCACAGACAACAACAAACTGCCTGACCCATCCCTTTTTGACTCCACCTGTTTTTGGTACCTTCACATACCCTTCGTAAGCAGTTCCGATGCCTCTAGTGGGATCAATCCCCAGAGGTCTTTTGGCTGGAAAGAAAGAAAGAGAGATAAAATAAGTGACATTTAACTGCATTAAGTTTCCATCAGCACATTCAGTACATACTTTGATCTGGTGGTACCGGGCATACAGCTGGAACTTTATCACAACAGGACATGTGACAAGCAAATCCACAAACTTCACATACAACCCCTTGTCTGGTCAACCCCACCATGAGTGATGTACAATGATTGCATTTGGTTGGGGAACTGAACGTGCGAACAAGAAATTGGTGAGATTTTGGTTTCATGGCAGCAATGTTCATGTGATGGGGAACTAGATGAGGAGGTAGTTTGCCACCACTATGATGGCCCATACTGAGATTCAAATCCAATCCAAGTGGAGAGCCCGGATCCTGGAAAGATTTAGAACAAACAGATAAGCATTAGAAACATTGCGTATGTGGTCAAATGTGTACATTGTACACTCAACAACCTACAAATAATAAAAAGTTGTTTTCATAGAGAATTGCAAAAGAATTTTACCTGAAATACCACTACTATGACCAAATACACACCTTAATGTTGATGTAATATAAAAACTTACACCCAGAGCTGCTATTACTAATACAATCCATTGAGATGACAAGACTACAAGTACAATATGACCTTAATGAGATCGTTATTGACAAACTAAACAAATTGGGATTGGCATATGTTTTTTTGGTGTTTTTGTTTTTTTCTGGGGGGAGGGGGATGCAGAGAAGTCTCACTTTAAAAGCAGGACAAGTACTATATACTGATGTAGTCTGCAACTTAACATGCCTTCATATACCACTGCAATGTTAGCCTTATCTTATCAGCTTTTGAAAAATAAACAGAGCCATTTCTACCAATGGAACAGGCTTCATCTAAAAAGCATAAAAACTCCACTAGGATATAATTTATTGTTCTTTAGAAAGTTTCCATGTACAAGAAGAAACCTCATGTGATAAAAGAAGGCATTTAAAAAGATAGAAATGAAACCAGTTTATTAGAATTAAAATATCAGTTTAACTTCTAATAAAATAAAATGTAGAATCAATTTATTGAGTAGGCTCATTTGAAACATGGCAAGAGAAGCATGCTAACATAGGGGAAACACTAAATAAAAAGAAAAAGAAGCAAGCAAATACAGAGAAACAGAAAAACATGCTTTGCTAAACACAATCATTACACCCTTTATTTCAACACATGTATTGTTTCTATTAACATAAATGTATACAAATTTGAACACATGCAATATCGTAATTTCAGAGGAACAGATACAACAGACACATCCTAGAGAACTACTTAACATTTGCAAAAAGAAAAGTAGCCCGATGCCCAATAAAAGACTTTTTTTTTAACACCATGCATACATGCCTCACATACAAGCTCACATGCAAACCAAGCCCAGAAACAATCAGTCAGGAGACCAGATACTTCAGAAGTCACATGACAATGTTCTCCATGAAGAAGAGAAACTAACAACTAGGTAAATCTAAACCATTCGATTTATATTCAGCAGGTAACTGTAGCTTCACACCATAATGACTAGATCATGACTATGGCACTTACCAGTGCAAGAGCGCCACATATGTTGACCACATTAAAAATAATTGAATTGGATTTAAGAGGAGTGACTATAATAAAACTAACCTCTTCAAGTTCACGTTTCAGCACATATGTTGATGTAGTAAATTAAATAGATGCCAAAATACTTGAAACTAGAGAGGGTACAACAAAATTGAGCAGAGGGACTAGAGTGAATATTGTGCAATCATTGAAAATTTCTCTGATCACTGTAAATAAAAGACTACAACAGTAATATGACAGCTGTTGTCCTATACATTCACACTACATTACGTACTATTTCATGCAGTAATGAGGGAAATAGGAGATACGTACAAAGTGCTTTCTACCCAAACCAACTTTGACATACATGTACAGGCAAAACAGGTCTGGCTATACACAAATACCATTACTACCCACAAAACATAAAATAATTGAAAAAACAAAAGGAAGAAAAAATAGAAAATGTGGACAGTCTAAGAAGAACAAAAACAGAAACCCGAGACATTCAAAAAATGTAGGACAGATGGTGCAGTTAAAATGTGTTTCTACGAATACTTACAATGCTTAGTTCAGAAAGGTTGGACTTGCTACTCGAGACTGATGGAGCCCGGTTGTCTTCAATGTCACCCTCTTCACTTTCAACAGACCCTCCATGGCGAGCAGATGACTCCTTGAGAAAATGGTCCAGGTAGGACATTTGAGATGAGGGTCTTTCCAGGACTGAAAATAATAAATAATCATTAAAATCAAGAATGTGAATCAAAGTGATAGATAAATCAAGAGAGAGCTTTGATGATAATATCCTCATTAAGGTATAACAGGAATGCCTTCAAATAATTGGAAAGGCGAGGAAAAGGGGCATTCAGAAGGGTAACACAAGCACAGGAGGGGCTAAGAAAACTACCAATATAATGTGATGAAAACACACAAAAACCGCTGCACACTTAACACAAGGGGTTGAAAGGAATTCTTTTTACAATGCAGTGCATATCTGAATTAAAGATAGGGAAACAAGCCAAGCTTCTTCTATACCTCATTATGTTGCATTATTGAATTAAAGTTGATTTGCCATAAGATGTGCTCACATGGCTATGGCTAGTGAAGTTCATAATGAACAAATTACTCCCATTTCGGTAACCTATGTAATGTAGTACATTCTAGAACCCGATTCGGAACTACGATTCTCAGTAGAAGCTGAACTTAGTTTGTTGGTGGAAATGGCACAGTCGTAAGGAAGAGTTATGGGGTAGCACAAAAACATGTTGAAATTCACACATCACCCAACTATAGCATACACAAAGAGAACTGCATTTGCAGGATAATTTAGCCTAGCTTTGCATCAACCAAGTTCAATTGGGTGCTTATAGCTTGAAATGTGCATTTACATCTCTTTTTAATAGGGATTGGAAGCAAGCAAAGTATTGGCAGAAATGAGTCCAATTGGGTTAACTGACAAAGGGTGTGGGACTTAACTGGCAGTTGAAACAACCCTCTACTGCGGATAGAGATACTGTAATTCAACTAAAAATTATAGCCTTTTATTTTATTGCACAGCAAACACTGTCTCCAAATAAGTCCAGCTCAATGACACAAATGTGTTGAAGAAGCTTTTAGATACGTAATTGATAGTCTTGAATGCCAGTAATGAGTTTTTCTGTGACCGTGAGAATGTGCAGTTAAGACCACACCATGACTCGACTCAGTGTTCCACATTAAGTTCAATTTTACCCAATTAGCATACCATTACCAGGCAGCAAAATTTTCCAAAACATGTTTCAGGAACATTAAGAGAGGATATGGAAACAAATCAAAAAGTAATTATAAATTGCGCAAAGTTGAAATTAGATAAAAAAAAAGTTTTAAATGTGTCAATCCAACAAAGCATTAAAATATGTATCTAAATCATTCAGACTTGCTGTTTCTCTCTCATTTGACAACACAAGCTATTCACGGTACGTACATGTGTACATAATGCACAAGTAGAAAAAAGGAATTATTAGCCTAGGTAATGCGAGCAGGTAATGCAGCAATGGGCATCGGACATTGGGCAGCGTACATTACCAGAAACCCTGGCGATGCAGAATGGAGAAAGAGGGGACATGGACCCCAACAGTCACAAATACATTCGCATAAGGAGCAGGATAATGCCCCAAATGCAAGTTGTCACACCGATAAACAGAGGAACTTTGTCTACACAGACACGATGAAAAAAGAAAAAAAAGGAGAATATCACCAAAACCTGCAGACAACCTCACTACCCATTTAGTGCAATCATTGCAAGTCATGGAAACTACTGAAGGCCTGTCCTATAAACACACTGGAACCTTCAGAAAGCGCACAACACTTTTATACAAATATAAACTGCTTCAAGCAGATTAGAGAAGGAAATATTATGATTACATTTGAATATGTGCACAAATTAAAATGTCTAGAGAGTCTAAATGAGGAGACAAAAAGGGCTTCTACAATTTAAAATGTTTTCTTTAAAATATCACTTGTGTGAGCCAATAATGGATTACCAATGTGATACCAATGTGACTTTCAGAAAAAGAAAAAGGAATATGGGTTCCTGGTGGAGGGGGGCTGCTCTCCTAGCCCCAACACCTTGCACATATGCACTCAATGTCAATGTCCTTGTGAAAGCAAGCAAGAGCTGAAGGCTCAAAATTTCTCTATGAGAAAGTAGTAAGAATATCTTAGACTGAAATCACACGAGAGACGACATTACCGATTTAGATTTATGTATGAAGGAATTAATAATGAGCTAAATGATCAAAATGAGCAAATGTGATCAACAGGTAGATTGGCATTGTATTATTGTTTTCAAATACAACCAACAACTGTGCCATCTCTAAAAAGGAGAGATTGAAATAACGGGCAGCTTATATTTGCATAAGTATGGTATGCTGACTGATCTGATGACATGTGTAACAAGAGACAAAAAAAAAAAAAGAAGAAAAAAGACAGTGATTGAAAAGAACTTCAGACCAATTAATTGTAAAATGAAATGCTGTACCGCATGCAATAATTTACAACAACATTCTACAATGAGCACAGCACTGACACAATATGTGATGACTAGTATATGTCTTTTTTGGTGGACAGTAACACCAAACTATTCACTGAACTACAGCTTGGATAATAACATTTACAAATTGCCCTATATATGTCATTCATCACAAAGAGGCAGTTAAATTGTTTTGAATTCAATTCATACTGAAAATGATGCTTTTAATTCCTGTTTTAACTCATTTTAAATTCAGATAGATTATGTAGATATCAAAACTTTAATGTCACTTAATCCAAAATCTAATTACATCTACTTGGTTTCCTTCAGCATCTAATGAGGAACACAAGCCAATCAGAAATAAAAGAAAAGAAAAACATCAGACTACCAGGAAAGAGTTATGAGATACTAGAAGAAAATGAGAGGAAGAGAATTGAAAGAGGAAGTATCCAAAGCCAATTTGTTGTAAATTTCAACGTAAGACACGTAAAGCGCAACATAATCTACAGTTTCAAAAAGTCTTGTTGAAAATTGATAACGCTAAAAAAGGAATAATGACAACATATACAACTTTTACGATAGAAAAATAAGAAAAATCACCATGGTTTCCACTCCTAATAAAAGGTGAGTGTGCAGCTGCAAGCAAAGTGCATAGTGAAATGTCATGAAAAAATATTGCATAGTTCAAGATTAAAGATTATTATTACAGCTTTAAAGATATATCTTCTAAAACTTGGCAGGGTATCCACATCTCTCATCCTCTCTCCAAACCCAAATAAACATAATCTCTTAAAATGTTCAAATCAATAGGAGTAAATAGACTTTTACTTCTATTAGTATTACAACCAAGATTACAACAGTAATGGACATAGCAATTAAGTGGACTGTAAATTTTAATTTGGAGTGGAACAAGGAAAAATCAGGTTGAGTCTGAAGATTTGCAATTGGAAAGACCTATTTTTCAGCCTGCTCTTTCCTTACTTGAGGCCAAGTTAAAATTAATGATGGAAAGACAGATTTTTTTTTTTTGCTTGGTATTGGAAAATATAGGTAAATATAGGGCAATACTTACATCCTTCTCCTGAGTCCAGGCGAGACTGTAATTCCTTTACTTGAGATTCTTTGCGTTTCACATCATGAGCAAGATTGTCCAATCGCTGTCGAACATCCCTCAATTCCCTAGAGAGGAAGAAAACATTTCATGTGATAACTTAAAAATACATTTGGGTACAACATGCTGTAGATTGTTCTTTTCAAGATTTCGCCAAGGGAATCAGATGCTGTAGACTAACATATGAATAAAGACTTACTTTTGGGCAGCTATCAACTCTGATCGAGTTTTGCTTAGTTCTTCACTTATTGCCTGCTTTGCCTGAATTTCAGACTGCAAGCTACTTTGAAGATTTAAAAGCTCCATTTTATCAAGTTTTTGACTGCGTCTGTTTCTCCAATTCTTGTCCTGTTGAAGAAATTTCAAAGTTTAGGTGATTGGAGAAAGTAGTAGATCGATAGAACAATAAATTCATTGCCTAGCATGATGGCACATACAGCAGCTGGAGTGTTGCCCACTCCTGAATGTTTTAAGTATTCTAGTTCTTCAGTCATCTTGGTGGCGAGAGCTTGCAAGTATCCTCTTGCATCCTTTTCATCACTAACCCTGCAACAAGTTAAAAGTAAAATTTAAAGAGAGACAGTGAGAATACAACAGATGCAAGATGTTTTATTTAAGGCTTGGAATACAACATTATTGTAAAAGTGAAAACAATATTACTATTATGAAAAAAAGTGAAATACCATACCATTGAATGATCTCTGTTATTTGAGCCTCCCACTGAGCTATGGCATCTTTTTTTGTTCTCAAATCTTCATAATCACTTTCAAGTTGTCTTCGTTCAGCTTGCATACGTGCCAAAGCATCTCGGGCCTAAAACAAAATTAATACAATGAGATTTCTGGTTCAACAACATCAAAATAATCCTATCTGCAAAAACTTCTTACCGATTCCATCTCAATCATGAGTTTCTTATTCTCGTCAAGTAGCATTGCCTTATCCCTATCATGCCTTCTACTTAACTCAGCAACTGCTTCTTCACTGTCTGCTACACTCTCAAGCCGAATTGAATCTAAACGATCCTTGAATACAGCCACCTGTGATGGTTCAATTTATTTAATCAAAATTCAATTTTGTTGTGGGCTGTTCACTACAGTGGCACAGAGATGAAATGATAGCTCACTAAAACCATCATTTCACTACTTTAGTTTCACTACCTTTTGCATATTCTAAACTTTCAAAAATACAGTATCTATCTCTTCTACTTGTACATGTCTAGTTCTATATTTTGTTTGACTCGAGTATTGTGAAAATAAAGTTGGATTAGGAAGATAATTTACCTCTCTTTCAAGCACTTCACGTGTGTTGTCAGACTCTTGTAACTGTTCTCTAAGGCTGCAAATCTCCAAGTTGTAGCGAGTCTGTTGCTGGTTTAAGTCTTCATTATACTGCACCTCTATCTTCTCAACTTCAGCTTTAAGGCTGAAAAAAAGAGTTAAGTAATTAAATGAGCTAGCCATGTTGAATGAATTGAAGCATTTGATATCTATTTTAAATACCGAGCTATTTCTTGACTGGCGTGGACAGCAGCAGAACTACTTGTGCTATCAGCACGAGACCTCACTCTTTGTTCTGCCTCTGCTTCAACTTGACGGCAGTACTCTTCACTTCTCTCTCGGAGCTTTCGTTCTTTGGTTGCTTCAGCTATGGCCTCATCAACTCTGGCTTCAAGTTCACGCCTTAGTTTCTCAGCTTTTCTTATATCATTTCGTAATGCATCCACCTTCGACATCACCACTTCCAGCTCTTCTTCCTTGTCCCGCACCTGCCTAGAGAGTTTTTGCTTCTGTTGGCGCAACTCTGACAACCTGCAAAATAAAATGTACCATATTTAAATTGAAAAACATTATGGAAATTGCAGTTTTAGTTTCCTGTTTTAGTCTTAACCTCAACCATGGTCATACTTCATGAAAGCTATTAAACAACATGGTGTACTCAGAAAACATTCTCATAATGACCACTAGGCTTTTGGCTTAGGTTTATTTGGGATCGTGACAAAAAGCATTTCAGTTTGAGTTGACCGCAAGTGGAGTGATAGAGTGAGGGCTGAGGGTAGGCTTATGTTAGTCATTTCAACAGATGTGACTCAATGTTGTTATCAACCCCCC